AATAATAGTGAAAGTTAAAGTAATGGGGCAAACTTTAGACCAAAAAAGCAAAACCATACAACTTTATTTTTTTAATTGTTCCTTGTTTTTTTAGTTATTTTACACATATGAAATAGTAAAGGGGGAATGTCAATTTTACCCTTATTTAAAGGGGTGGAGATTAATATTAACGGTTGAACTGACGGGGTTTTTAGAGGAAATCTATCTTATATATTTAACCAAAGGTTAAGGATTGCACTGTCAAGAGTGAAAGACTCAGGACTCTTATGCGATATTTGGAAAGGTTAAGGATCCAAATGTAATTCTCCCTTCTAGAAATTTGTGCAATGTCGCTAAAGTTTGATGTTCTTGTAAAAATAGATAGGGATTCAACTAATTGAGAGGAGGGGTGTTTATATCCTATATGTTACGAGGGACCAACTAGCCCCTTGTGATAGGTGGGAGAATTAGGGGGCCCACTCTAATTGAGAGGAGGGGTGTTTATAGATTAGTCTACAAGTACATAATTTTATACATAATCTTTCACACCCCACTCACATTAGGAGGTGGGACCACAAGCCGTCATTTTTAAAAACACATGGGGCCCGTGCCCCATGTGAGGGGGGGACACCATTCGGTACCCCCCCCTTTCGGTACTTATATCCTGTATGTTACAAGGGACCAGCTAGCCCCTTGTGATAGGTAGGGGAATTATGGGACCAGTTGGCCAGGGGAAGAAATTTTCTTCCTCCGACCTATGACAGGGGCCAACTAGTCCCTTAAAATATAGTTAATTTTTTTAATCAATCATCTTTTGTCTACTTCAAATTTGTATTTAACTAAAATTTTAAGGGTCCATTTGATTGCAATTGTGAAAAATAGATGGAAATAAAATGAATTCCAAAGAAAATAATTGTTTAGAACTTGTTTTTAGGGAATTGTTAATTAAGTGTATTTGATTGGTATAATTTTCCATCCGAAAATTTTTAAAATTTTGGATCTCTTTGTGTTCGTTTGGTTTTATTTTACATAAAAATTGTCCATTAAAGTGATATTTTTTCCACAATTTGTTATAAAATTTGTTTTCATGCCAAAAAGAAAAAAAAAATTCCAATAAAATCATTTTTTATCAAAGTTTAATATTCGTTTGGCTTTATTTTACACGAAAATTGTCTATTCAAATGAATTTTTTTTTACAATTAGTTATAAAATTTGTTCCAATTGCCAAAAAAAAAATTGTGGAAATCAGTTTTCCCACCAAAATGGTGGGAAATATATACATGCATAGCAATATATGAAGGAAAATTTGAAAAAAAGAAGGATTATGTTTTATTGTGAATTTGATGAATTTAGTATATGAAGAATTCTTGATATAATGTATCTTTTGAATTCAAACAATATCAATAACAAATTTCATTGTTTTTTTTATTATTTTTTGTTATATTCCGGTTGGGTTTTGGGATTTGGGGGCGGTGTAACCGGTGTTGAGATATGTTAAAGGGCAACTTATTAGGTGTTAAAAATACCATTAAAATCATATATACAGTATTTTGAAAAAAATACCCTTAAAAATTAGGTGTAAAATCATATATACAGTATTTTAAAAATACCCTTAAAGGGCAACTTATTAGATGTTAAAAATACCCTTAAAATTAATGGACTTTTGAAAAATCATATATACAGTATTTTGAAAGTATAAAATACTATATAAATTAGGTGTCATCTTTTTTTATTAAAAAGTGAAAAGGTGTCACTTTAAAAAAAAAAGTGATGTCACATTTTTATAAAANAAAAAAAAAAAAAAAAAAAAAAAAAATGACGAACACTAAAAGTGAAAGAAATTTAAAAAATTGACAGAAATTCAAAAAAGTGGAAAAAAAAGTGACACACAATCTACCTACTTCAGAAAATTATCAAGTATTAACCAAACCACAATAGCTCCAATTCAATATAGTTTACCCACTAAATACTGAAAATGAATAAGTTAAAGTTCAGCTTCACTTTTTTATTAAAGTGACGTACATGTTACTTTTATCAAAAAAGTAACAAAAATTAAAAAAAGTAAAAGTAACAAATCATAAAAATAAAAGTAACATAAAATAAAATAAAAGTAACAAACGCTAAAAAATGATAAAAATTTTAAAAAAAAATGACGAACGCTAAAAAAGTAACAAAAATTTCGAAAAGTGACAAAACATTAAAAAATGTGTCACTATTTTATGGTCGAGTTAAGTATCAGCTAGACCAAAATAGCTCCAATTCAGAGCTAAAAATTTAAAAACGTGAAAAAAATTCACCATGGTAAACAAATAAACTCTAAATTCAAATACCCATTCTAATAGGTAACCACATTGCAGTATTTATCTTCAAAACTATAATGCAGCAAATGATACATAAAGAAGGTTTTGTAATCAACCTTGTATATCACGACCGAAGAAATAAAGAAAGATCATCTAAGAGAATCTTCATAGCATTTCATAAACAAAAATCCACATAACATTTTACAAAAAACACAACTTGACCGTCAAACCTCACAAAATATTTACAATTGTGTTGAAAAAGTTTTAAATTCCAATCTTAAGGCACACATATGTCATCAATGAAAAAATATAGTAAAAAATCCAACCGATACCACATTGACTGAAAAACAACAAAATTCACAAAAGTAAAGAACAACACTGTATCCTAAACCCAATGCCACAAGCTGAATTGCATATCTAGGCCATGTCTGCCCCCAGCTTTTGAGCTGACTTTTAATCCATTATTTGACCGTTGAGCAGCCATTATGGACCATTCCTCTCACAGGCGAGGCCCAGGTATAGAAAAGAAACGGTCAAATTTTGGCTGAAAAGCTGGGGCAAACAGGACCCTAAAATCCTCAGCTATATATCTAATTTTTGTCATTCGTTCTCAGTTCATGCTGCTAGCAGAAACTAATAGAGCTTCACAATCATTTGAAACCTTTAAAATGTAAAAAATATATATATATATCATAAATAAAAAAATAGGGAAATGTAACAAAACCCGAATCGAATACTAAAATTTCAAGAGAGAGAAAATGACGGATTAGATCAACAACTCTTGTTGTTTTTGTAAATCAGGAAAAAAGTATAATGTGTACAGTGCAGGAAAAAATGAATCTCGAATTTATTGCATCAACTAGTCCTAAAGCAAAGTTGATCAAGGAACTATTAAAGGTACAAAAGAGGCCGCGGAATGGTATAAATTGTTAAAACCCCTATAGTCGGACCATTTGCTTTAGGTCATTGTCTTCTTCAGTCGGACTTTCCTGTACTATTACAGTTGAATAGAAAAATTGATCAGTTGTAATCAATTAAAAAAAAAAAAATCATTTACAATTGATTTCAGAAAGAAGAATAACCCAATAATAAATTTCCCTTTTAATCATATTTTTTTTTCCTTTTAATGGAATAAATGCTACGGGTCCTTTGAAATTACTATGTTTAATTTGAATAAAATAATAGAGTCCATGTCACATTGAGAATGATGGTGATTACAGGGGTTTATGGTTCATGAAATCTCATCTTATAATATTTGGTATATAGAATTATTTATTGAATTGTAAGAAGATTAATGCTATATGCATAGTTATTAAAATGGGCCTGACCCGGCCAGGAGCCCGCCACTAGACATAGAGCCGGGCAAGTTTGCACATTTTAATTGGAAAGCATATGAACCAGTCAAGAACTAATAAAACCAATAAAAACTATTTGAACCGGCCTATTTTAGCCACTGTTTGGGCTCTATTATTTCACATTTTAATGAGGAGAATATTAATTTTTATTTTATGAAAAATGTGTGATTGATAAAAAAAGAGAAAAGTGAATTTTAATTTAATGGCAAACAGGGGCTTAATGTACATATATCTTAAAAATATAAAATTTAACACAATCCAAATCAGGCCCGATAACTATGGTTATATGAAACGGGTATGAACATAGAGATTTTTTAAAAATCTGAAATTGTATTAGGGATGTATTTAAAGTGGAATGAATATATAAAATTTGTGTGGATATATAGTGTTTAAATGAATGATTTTAATAACGATAATATTGGAACGTCAGCGGTCTGAGTCTGCTTATCTCCAATTCATTAACTTAGTCGATACAAAGTTATATGATAGCACCCATTTTTTCCATTTCGCTTTTCCTTTTTGTTTGGGTTTGTAACTATGTGACTAATCGAAGTGGAAGGACAATCTGAAAATACTTCATCAGATGATTGTACAAGGAAGGCATAAGGTAGGTTATAAAAAAAAGGGAAACAAATGATTTAGATGAAAATAATATTTTTTTAAAAAGTTTTAATACTTTAAAAGGGATAGATATAGAGTGCGATGAATATATAACAATCATAAATGTAAATAACGATTCATATTTTAAACAATACAATATTAGAAATAACACGTGATATTATATCAATTTTTGTGGCAAACTTAGTGTGTGTTTGGTAGGGATTTTTTTAGGGAAAAATTGATTTTGAATAGTGAGATGATTGGAAATGTATGGTTGAAAAAGAAGATAAGATTATTGATGTGATAGAAAATATTATTTTATTGAAAAATGTGTGGTTGAAAATGAGAATTGATTTACTGTTGAAAATGAGAATTTGTACCAATCATAGCATTAGACTTGAAAATAGGAAATTTGGTAGGGATTTTTTTAGGGAAAAATTGATTTTGAATAGTGAGATGATTGGAAATGTATGGTTGAAAAAGAAGATAAGATTATTGATTTGATAGAAAATATTATTTTATTGAAGAATGTGTAATTGAAAAGGAGAATTGATTTACTGTTGAAAATGAGAATTGATACCAAACATAGCCTTAACATGTTTGAGCATGTTTGATAGTAGTTAATGACTTTGGGAGTGCATATATAAATGAAATTGAGTTCTGCTAAGCAAAATTTACCCATTTCAATTGGGTACCTCAAAACCCCCAAATTAAACCCAATTATTGGCGAAGTCCAGAACCCTAAATTTAAACTAGCCCCATCAAAATGCTAGCGGCCACTGCTTCAAAATTCAAGGCAAATCTGAGAAAGACAAATTTGATATGTCATTATTATCATCGTTCGAATTTCCTTAATACCCCCAATTACGAAGGTGCTTTGCGGATGTATGTGAAAGGAATTTGGGGCTTTACCACCGCTCCCCATGGAGCCAGAAATTACCAAGTTATTGTAAGCTCTAATTTATTGTTTTTAAATTTTATTTCCTTTTACATTTTAAGAAATTTGGTGATTTTTTAAAATAATTATTGGTTCTTATGCTTCCCAGTTGTAGTGGCAGCGTTTTATAGGACACCCGGTGTTCTGTAGTAACAGCAAAATAATTGCATTTTAGATTATAGGAATGGGGCGAAAATTGGTAAGAGTAAATAAAATTACTGGATGAGCAGAAAGGTTTTTGGCAGTGAAATATGCTGACTTGATGCGAGCGTAATTCGTTTTGTCTTGTTCGTCTGTCATCTTAATTTGGGAATCTGAAGGATTTAATGAAGTATAGACTCTTAGTTCATGCAAATGCGAAGTAAAATGTGAGGGGAAGGCATTAGATAATGGATTTAGTTATGATACTAGTTCCTTTTTTGGTCTGTGATTTATTGTAGGAGTTTTAAAGGATATATTTTTGGCAAAGAGACTGAATGTGTAAACCAGATTTTATTGACACTGCAATGAGTTCAGTTAGGGCATCTTGTAGTTTTCAAGACCAGTAGATTTGATAATTTCATTTTGCAATTACAATTGAACTAGCTTTTCTTCCCTGATTCAGTAGTTGTGTGGGGTTATTGCTTTGGCCCCTCTAGCATTGCTTAGAAGAAATATGACGATTGAAATATTTTGGGATCTATTTATTTGCGAAAATCATCTTCTGAAATCTGAAAATCCATACTGCTGAATAGGCAATGCTCAAGCTCTGTTTGACAAATGGAATATATATAACTGCTGGTGCATAAATTTTCGTAATGATCGGTTTTATCTTTTTCAATTTTCAGAAATCATGGAATTGAATATTGTGTGTGTGCAGTTAGTCAAATAAATATTTTATTTACTTGATCTTTTGTGATCGTTGACTATATTGAACTTCTCTTGAAAGTATGGTTAGCTTATTTCTTACAAAATATGTGAATGTGTTATTCTGATCTCATAATAACTATATATCTACAACAGAGATATGTTAAATCCATTCCAGTCAGAATCTTTTGGATTTGGCCTTTCTTTGCTATTTATAGTAATTCATTTCACAATCGGCAATCAATACCAACACAAGCCCCTCCTCCTCAAGAAAGCAATGATGAAATCTTGAATGAAATCCTTGCTGCTATCGAGGACTCTTCAGTTTCTAGAGAAGAAATCTGTACCACTTACCTTAGCAAGCTCTGTACTGCTGGAGATCTGATATCTGCTGCTAGGCTATTGCATTTTTTATGTAAGAAGCACATATTCTTCAGCCCTCGTGCGTATGAGCGCCTTCTGGTGGCTGCAGGTGAAAAAAATGATATTGACGTGCTTTTAAAAATTTTCAAGGACTTTTTGGTGTCTTGTGACTCTATAAGATTAACTACATATCTTATACTCGCTGGAGTGTTTGTGAAGCATAATGATCCTGTCATGTTACTGAAATTTATTAAAGAAGTTTCAGAAATGGTAATCCCTAGAAATGAAATAGTTCTGAACAGACTTATCTTTGCCTTTGATAAGTGCGGACATGTTGACAAGGCACTTTTCGTATTTGATCATATGAAAAGTTTGGAATGTGAACCAGACTTGGTTACATATAATACCATTTTGGGGATTTTTGGTCGACTTGGAAAAATAGATGAAATGCTACATGAATTTGCTGCTATGAAAAAGGCGGATCTTATTCCAGATATTGTTACATACAACACCTTATTAACCAGCTTGTGGAAGGTAGGTAGATTTGATTTGTGCTTAGTATATTTCAAAGAAATGAGTGAGAGAGGGGTTCAACCAGATTTGCGGACTTACAAAGCTTTGATTGAGAGCTTAGGCAGGTCAGGAAAAATTGAAGAAGCATTGAGAATTTTTGAGGAGATGAAAAGTAAGAGCATCCAACCGTCAATTCACATCTACCGAGCTCTAATTTTCAGTTTAAAAAGGACAGGGAAGACGGAATTGGCTTTGAAATTTTCCAAGGAGATGAAAGAATGCCTTCCGGACTTTGTTGGTCCAAAGGATTCTACATGGAAAAGGAGATAGTTTAGAGCTTCAAAAGGGGCAAATTATTTCAGTAAACTGTAAACCATATGGTTACAGAGGAGATCAATTTGCCAATCTGTCCCTGCTGCTGAAGCAAAAGTATTGAAGTGAATAAGGTATGATTTGATCAATGATATCATGAATGCATTTATGATTGGCGCCAAATTGTTATTTAGCTGTGCAGTAGTTAAATAAGTAACTTATTATATGTATACTTTACTTGTAGACTCTTGAATCACCTGATGTGGAATGGTTTGGTTGAGCTCCATCAGATTATAAATGCGAGTCAAAACAATGTTGACCATTCCAGAGAAGGGTGTTTTGTGAGGTTCAACTGGAGTTACTATCATTTTTCAATAATGCCAAACATGGTATCTACTCATATCCACCATGTCTCATTAACATTGTTCAATACTTTGCCATTCCAAGGCGAGAAAACCAGGTGGAAATCAATAAAGAAACCAACAGAAATGTACATAATACTCTTTATCCACGGAGTAAGTAGTTTGTTGCTTCGAAATTTCTTCTCAACCCTCAGAGCATTTGTTGGGAATTAAAATCCTCAGTTTGCTCTCTTTCAAGAGTTCTTTGTTGTTTGAGGGAGTCATCATAATGCTGATGAATTGTGCAGCCTTTTAATGCTTCTGCAAACGATATTTATATGCATTTTTACAGCAAGTTCTATAAGCAGATTAATTGGGCATCCGGGAATATGTCTTCGTGCACATAATCCTGCAAAATAATTCTTGTACCATCTCTGATCAGATTTTGCCATGGAGTTTGAAATGGAGGTGTATAACTCTCGATAATCGTACATGCAACTAAATTCTCAAAAATGTCCGGGATGTTTAGTTTCTTTGATCCATATTTTAGTCAAATAATCAACACTTGTGTTAAGATTCAAACTCAATTCTGAATTAACATTCAAACTTTTAATCCCAAAACATGTACAAATATATTGACTGTCTCGACCATGAATTAAAAAGCCACAATTGTTCACCACAAATAGATCTTTCTTCTCATCAGGAAATACAAGTTTCTCAATGTGCAAATAAAGCAGCATCTGACACTTTAAATCAGTTTCCCAAGTCCCAACAGACTATTGCAAGGGATGGGCAACAACCAATCTTGCTACAAGTCTTCAATGATAAACAGAACTCCAATGGGGGCAGCAGCAGTTTCATATTTAAGAAAAGAAAACATATAGTGTTGTTATTTAACTTCATTCTCGTTAGCAATTTCAAAAGATGAAGCTGATGGCAACACAAAATTTATGAGTTATTCAGACCCTTGACCTGGTTCATATTCAAGGACAAGAGTATAGTTTAACTCAGTCAACAAATCAAATATTTCAAAACCTCAAATACTACAATTCAATGTCTCAGACACATCCAGTAATTTCATACACTAATGTTCCAACCCCAAGTAGGTTCTCCCTTTTCAGGGGACTTGGGATCAAATACATCTCAATTATTTGGATCAGATCTTCATGGACTACAAAGAATTTATGGTTATAAAATTAAAATTAATAAAATGTTTGAGAAGCTCAGAGATTAAACAGCTTATCAATCAAGAATTTTCTGAAGCAGAACTGGCATGTTAGCTGTAAATCAATCATCACCGCCTATAAAAACTGAAACTGTAATAAAAAAAATTGTAATTTAATGGCTCATATCAAGAAATTCAACCATTTTTATCCATATACTTCATGGATTTGCATCTCAGAAGCGCGGATAATTAATTAATCATAGCCAAAAAATCTAAAAAAACAAAGATTCAAAATTTTAATTAGTTTTTTGCATATAGCGGATGTTTTTAGAGGTAAAATATGAGAAATGAATAAACCCCCACGTGTACACCGCCGGAGATTAGATATCTGCCTCCATGACTAGCAATTTCTTCAATGAAACAATTACGAAAAGAAAAGCTAAAGGTGTGGAGAGGCAGCAGAACATAAAATTTGAATATATAAAATTTCAATTCAGAGGATATGTAGCCATTGATTTGACACAGATTAGCCGTGGAAAAGATGTACAAAGAGACGAATCTGCAACACTAAACGGCGTAATTCTAGCACGAGCTTTGGGGCTTCAACTTCACTTGTAAAATCTCAGAGGAGCCCGGGAGGCTACGTGCAAATCATAAAATTTGGAAAAGAACATGAATATACACAAAATTACACAATTCTACATAGATTAGGCTTAATTTTTTGAGATCATTGCTGGATACAGAGGAACTTAGGGTCTGATAGAGGTTGGTTTTGTAAGCTTAGATTTAGTGAAGGGCGACGAAGAAAAAGAAGAAGAAGACTGGATTTATATAGAAGGAATCAGAAACCCTAAACAAAAAGCCCTAAATTTCACTGCAACGTTTTGGCGGCTCATACGAATTTAATGGATTTGGATCCGGCCCATTAAACCGTTAAGCATGATATGTTTATTTGGCACACCGAATTATGGATAATTAAACATTCTTGGTAATTAGTATTTTAATAGTATTTATGAAAAAAGGAATTTTAAGATTTTAAAAATATGTCTAATGTAGGACATTTTATCTTTATTGAGAATCGATTTCAAATTAAAATGCGATCAACTAGCCATACTTTACTCTTTACTCCACCTTCGTGATGCAACTGAGGTGGAATCTATATTGATGTATGTTTCACCACACGGGGGATAGCTCGGTGGTGCAAAAAATAGGAGTGAGGTAGTTTCAGCTGATCTGGCAGCTGCAGTGTGAGGATTCGATTCATGCCTCCTACAAGGTATGTGATTGGACTCTTTGTGGTTATGTTGATACACAAAATAGGCAACCCAAATCAAATGGCCCAAGAGAGGAAATGGCTATAAAGAAGAAGTCCAGATAGAGAGATCAGGGTAAAAGCCCAACCAAAAATATCATTAAAATATGAGGAAAGCCCAAAAAGACAAAGGTACGACGTCGACCAAGCCCGCAGGACGCCCAGAGATTGAGCGAATGAAACACTCTACAATCGCCCAGAGAAGAAGATCAATTATCGCCCAAGAATGCTGAGTCGCCCAAAGTCCCAGAAATGACCAAAGTTTATTGTTATCCAAAATCATGATCTAAGACGGTTTGAGCACATCATAATTACGCCCCACGATTTGAGAAAGTTGATGGCACGCAGTTATGAAGAGAGCGTAGTGATAGGAGTTGCACACGGTAGTTTTTAGTCAGCCGACCATGATGAAAGAAATGGGTAGTTACAAGCAGTTGCTAAACGATCAAAACTGCCCAGGCTGTATAAAAGAAGGAAGAAGACAACGAAGATAGCCGCGACAAAATTCACTCTCAAAACAGAGAACATGTAACTTACTTTTCTTAAATTAATTTTTAATTACTTCAATTCCCTTGTACTTATGTGTTTGCGTCCCTTGGAGGCATCTTGTTCATGTCCAAACTGTAATCTTCATATTCAATAAACACCCCTTTTTGGGACTTTGTTCCAAGAGGTTTGTCCCTTACACAATTGTCTGATCCTCTTTTTAATTGTTAGCGAGCGAAAACGCACGAAACAGGTTACTAGTATGACAGCTCTTGTACCCTGACTTGCTGATACACATCTTGCGATTTACCTCCTCCACAATGCTCTAGGACGGGACGGGGCCCTCGAGATTGGGGTTCAACCTTCATATTGACGTATGTTTCCTTTTTATTTCATATTTTTGTATGAATGTAAAACCTTATAGAATGAAGTCATATATTTATTTCTTATGCTCACTGATTTTACACGAATGGATGTATTTGAGCAGAAATTCGAAGGATGAGGTAGGAAAATTTCTTGAAAATAAGAATTCTTCATCTTTAAATGTATAGAAAACTAGAAATGTTTAGCCCATATTTGGTAGGGATTAAAATCTTATAGGGGATTAGTTTTGATTTCCCCCCACTAATGTAATAATAATATCCCAGAAAGTCCATGAAACTTAATACGGGGCTTATTTGTAATGCTTAGGAAGTTTTAGGCCATTTTGCAAATTTTCAGTTTTCAAGAACTAGTGTGCAAAATATTGCAAATATGTTTTTGACTGGGTGAATGACGTGTTCATGCAATTAGTAAAAAATTATGGTCATTAATTGATATGAAATTCGTTCAGATTATGTTATTCGATTGTAAATCTTTTCAAACTCGGAAGAATGAGATCATCCGAACATGAATGTGAAGAGGCTCGACTTTGCTCTTTATTTGCTTTTTATTGTCATACTTTAATTTATTGTATCGTCGACTCTCACTTAAAATTTTATTAGATCACTTAATTTAAAAATTGTCTTAATAAAATCATTAAAATTCAATTTCATTCCAATATATTGCATATTAGCTCCCATTGATATAAATAAACTTAGCACACTAACTTAAAATGGAGCCATAAATTAATAATTTCATGATATAATGAGATATCTCACGTTTTTAGAAAAATATATCATATAGCCCATATTTGTCTATCATTTTTCAAAACATTGTTTTTTACAGTAATCAATCTCCACCACACATTCTGAATAGGAAGGATGGTATTCTCTCTCCACATTACAGTAAAAATGGCAATGTTAATAAAAATTGCAGAAATTTGAATCATAAAAATTAAATTCAAATAATTGTACTCCAATTATCAGGATTCATGAAAATATAAAGTGAAATACTATAGATTTAAATTAAATATTATTTTTAATAATTGATGAAGTGTACTTTGTATCTTGAGAGACGTACAATTTTCATTGAACTCACAATATTTTTTAACCTCAATACGTGCAACCGA